TAATTCGTGCAACATTGCTTGCTCCGTTGGCCCTTGTACAGTGGTAGCACAAGCGCATCCCTCAGCTCAGCAGGCACCTTCTCCTTAATCCATACGTGTTGCACCAAGTGGTGCAGTGCAGTTATCAACGCGGGTCCGCCGTGTTTCAATACTTCAGGCGGGATCCCGTCGACACCGGCACACTTGCCGTTTCGCAGCTGAGCAAGTGCTCTCTGCGTCTCGTCCAGGGTCGGCGTGTCTGCCAGACTCGCCTTCATATCGTACCACTTCAGGCCGTTCAAAGTAGGACAGTCTATCTCTGGACGGTTGTTCAAGAGACAGTCAAAGTGTTTTCGCCAGATCTGCATTATGTTTGCAGTCTGTGTAGCGCCTGAACTACCATCGATCAGCATCTTCAGCGGCTCCAATCTCGGTCCATACACCGCCTTCAAGGAGTCAAAGAATTCCTTGTGTTGGCGGCGTTCGGCGTAGCATTCCATCTGCTTGGCGTTCTCCGTCCACCATGCATCTTTAATGCGGCGGAGCTCTCGGGTCAGTCGCCGTCGAAGTTTGCGAAACTGACTCTTCTTCCCCAAGTCACTGGGGTCTGCAGCATGTGCAGCAAGTGCTGCATTCTTCTCCGACACCAATGCGCCAATCGTCGCATTGTTCACACCAAACCAATCAGGCCGCCTACAGTTTGCGCGCCCAATGGTCTCCTCGGCGGCAGCTGTCACCTGATCGCGAATGTGGTACCACAGGTCGCCCACTGTGGTTATGCAGTCCACATCACACAGGCATGCAGCCATCGGCTTCTCCAGCTCAATACAAGATGTTTATGTTTGAAGAAAATGTCATGGTTGTATGTGGGCTGAAACTGTCAGGGCGCCCAGACCTAGACAGGAGGACAATTACGGTCCTCAAAGGTTGTTGACAGCCAGATGGCTCATATACTTTCACAGAAGCTGGTGACCATCAAGGTAGTTCATCCACCCTCCGTTGAGTACTCACTTCTGGCCGCAGAAGTGAGTGGTCAGTGACCCTATAGCCGGTCACATTGACTTTGACACAGCTTCTTACCAACTCTTGTGGTACTTAATGAGGAACCAGGTGATCAGCCCAGAACCCCTCACGCTATAGGACACTGCCGCTGATTGTCCGCGACTGCTTATTCATCTCGCCTGCAAACACCAGAAACTTTCTCACAGTTACCTTTAGAAAGGAAGCCGTTCCCCGATCCGCAACCTGAGGATGCGCCCGGCGACGTAAAGCTTCGCCAAAATAACTAGTAGTCAGTTCACTTCCGGGCCATAATACAGAAGGGTACAGCTGGTTGTACCTGTGACTGTAATAATTTCTTGTTTCATTCTGATGTTATCGCGATTTTTGTTGTTGTATGATACAAAATGCCGCCACAACTGTATACTAATTTCTTAGCCTGACAAAGTTTTGTGTCAAAAGCAAAACATTACCCACCAAATACACCAACCGAACGTTCCCAAACCTCTGTGAACTCGAGACGTATAACTTGGTTTCGATGTACGAGGATCAAGAAAGACTGGACTTCGACATTAAAAAGGTGAAGATGCTAACCAGTAGAAGCATGAAGTAAGCGATGGAACATTACAGCTCACAACCAATTCAATCGGCTGACATCTTGAGCTGGATGCAGTGTACGCACGAGTAAAGTATCACCAACTTGATAAACTCCATGGAACAGAATACTAGATGGATGGATTAAACGGTATGGAGAATTTTGGGTGATAGTTTTAGTCGGGAAGAGAAGGGGGAATTTTCAAGGTCACCTGTCCGCCGCCCAATCAGAACGTGGACCGACAAGAAAATCAGGAATACTACCTGCCTAAATAACCAATCAGAACCCGAAAGAATATTTGATGAGCAACACAACGCTTAGCTTCGCCACACGGAGACGCACTGGTGATCTAATCTTGATTGGTGACGAAGCATGTGCAAAATAGCCAAGCTAAGCGAACAGTTCAATCAGCAAATGAGCAACATGAACCAGCAACATTTACTTCAGTAGAATGCCGTGAATAAAGCGGAGTGGAGAGTAAACGAGTAGTACACTCTTCCCACATAGGAAAAACAGTTAGCTGGGTGACGCCAGGAGAGTGGTACCGGCTACGCGACTGCCCTGCGTTTTGGTTGGAATGTTAAGTCCCAGTAGTTTAAATCGACCCACACGATGAAGTGGCTGTGAGTCAGATATCACAAAAGCGCAAGTAGTTTACATACGGAAATTGCAATGACTAACAAAGATACGTTCAAGAAAGCAGTCGAGAAGCAAGCGAAGAAAATGATCTAGTCAGCGTAAATAAGCCGGCATGGCACCCTTAGATCTCTCCAGACATCAGTAACGTTACGCAGACTTCGATGAATGAGGGAAATCGGTTCCCTAGAATCTACATCCCAATGCATTCGGTGAAACTGACCGTGGCTCCAGACAACTAATAATGCGCAGATGTACCAAAAAGACACGCAACCCATACCGATTCGCGCAGGAGGTACAGGTATCTTAGCGAGTGAACCGAATGGCTGTTCGGCAGTCGTGAGAAGCGGTAGTGTGTAGGTCCGACCCCGTAACAGCACCATACAAGATAGCCTTTTCAGGTGCATTTGTATGTGTGCCTTATCACGAGAGCAGTTATAAGTAAGCATTTGGCAGAACTCTAAAATCATGTGAACCAGAAAAGACCGAGTCATTCAAAAGTAGAGTTCAATTCATCCAAAAACTATGATCTAGGCACCGAAGTACGGTGGATCCAGTTATCTGGGCTCGCATGGCCAAGGTGACGCAAGTGAAAACGGTAAGGAAAAGGAGAGAGAACACAAAAAAATTGAAGAATTGGGTAAAATCAAGCGCAGGAGAGCGCCTGAGTTCCCGACTGCGATATATCAGATGAGCATAAAAGAATAAACTCAGAAGTCCTGACAGACTTCTTTCAGAGGTTTGCACAGTTCTGAGTCGCAGTATGGATACTACTGAATAGAAACAGAAAGTTTGGAGAAATTGAAAAAACCCATAGAAGACACCGTTAGCACAATAGGACAAACGAACACAAAACAGAGAAACCCATGGTTTTGTCAGAGGGCGTTGTCCAAGCCAAAGTTTGGAGTTAACTTAAGGGACAACACCCGAGCTTTTGGCTGAATAGCCAACCCACAAAGCAGCGGAGCGAAGTCAAGTAACAGCATTCGTTTGGAGTCGGTGACCGATTGTTTAGTTCATAAACCTTTCGTTTAGTTAGTTGCCAACCAGAGGCAATCTTTTCGATTCAGTCTGCTGGAATACAATGCATCACGGTAAGCCACTCGCGCATGTGATGCTGTGCATGCATACGGTGAGGTGTAAATGTGCGCTCGATACACCACTTGTCGGAGCGAAAGTCAAGCTGGCTTTCACTAGCCTGATTTTGTCAAGGACCAGTTGAGATCCGGAGAACAGTAATAGATGCCTCAACTCTCACACAACATCCTACGGTTCGCCATACGAATAGAGGCAGTTGAGGACTAGTCAATGTATGATATAAAATTTATTAGAACGACTAGATAAACGAGCGAATCGCCACTACTCTTCAGCAATGATAAAGATGCGCTAACGGATTTAAGAGTTACGCTTCGTCTTATTGTGGTCAATGCACATTGGAGCTCACCGAGACACGGGGGGTGGATGGCTAAAAAGGCGGGGGGGGGGGATACAGCTTCTCAGAGTTGATCCTCGAAACGCTTTGTCCAATATTCGACGAATGACAGTGGATCGGCTGCACATTTTCCTAGCGCTGTTCTACTCCCTGTAAGTTATCTTGGTCATATGCACACGGTTGCCACCAACAGATCTGGTCTTCATCTGAAGGACTCTCGTTATCCATCAACCCCCCCCCCCCGGATAAACGATGGCAGTGTTGGTGAGAGGTTGTTTAAGGAAGCTGAAAGTGCCAAAGATAAAATAAATAAACGTTTCCAAAAAAACAGATAAGTAGTGGGTGTCGCCCGCTGCATAACCGGTTACGTGTTCGTTTGTACCCCCGTCAGGTGGAGCCAGCGCCACAAACCAGACGTAGAAACGCCATCCGAAGCCTTTACCATTAACGCACTTCTAAGAGTCAGCTACAGTCTCAGTAACTAAACTGGTCGACAAGCATTTCAAAATGAATTGCAGTCCTGGTTGAGATAGCGGTACTGCAATTTATTCGACTGACAAATGCTTCAAAATGACCCCTCCAGTGTTTATGCAAGATGTTTACCCTCTATAGTGAGGTCGCAGCAAAATGCAACTTAAAATATGCATAATATGAAACATCACAGGATTAGCGCTCCGAGAGGATAGGGCATAGATCCGCATTTAAGCCAATGTTATGGGTTCCAACAACGAACTAGACGTTAGGATTTAATGCCCACAGTACAATTTGAAGTATGAAGCCAATGTTAGAGCGCATTCACTGCCACTGATATTCCGCATGCATATTCCATAGGCAAGACAGCTGATGGGGGTAATAAATGATCACAGTATCTGGGCGAAAAGTGAGGCGGAAATTTTACCGAAATGATGCAGCGTTTCGTGCTGCGCTAGCAGTCGCAAGCCTATTGTAAACACTCTCACATTCGCTCACTGTTTCTGTAGCTGTGGCAGGTGTGGGATGCGAGACCGAAGCATCGGTGCACCGAAGTGCCTGTCGGTATTAAAACTAAGTACAATTTCCTCATACTCAGTGTAAAGAGCAGCAGTTTGACGACAATGTGTATTAAGCAAACAACTAATCATGTAAAGTGATATCCGACCACTGCGCCTACTTTATTAAAGGTGCAGATAAATCATCGTCCAAAAGGTCGTGATTTCACATGCACGTCAGAAGTGATAAAGATATGGAACACCAAGTAAAGTATCCGAACTAGTTGAGAGTAGAAGATAGGTCCCAGAACGCCATAAAAATTAGTAAACACCAAGGACAACTAATTGGCTTATAGATGAGACAGTTAAACAAATTGCTACTCAAACTCACTTCGGAAAGCAACGATGAAGTCTCGTTTCAGAAGAGGTTCTAAAAGGCTGTTCACTTGGCTTTGTTGAAAATGGGACATCCGAGACAAAATACTGCATATAAAGTCCACCTGTTCGTTGCAGGACCAGGTATCAAACATATCAATGCAAGCTTTTTTTTCCAAAGACACACAGGCACCGGAATTGTGCAGTCTTTTCTTTTTTTGATCCATCGTCATACAGCTGGGAAGAATTTTAGATCGCTTCACGTTGGATATGTGGGTGAAATGTACCTGAAAGTGTATAGGGAGATAGGTAAGGCAAGCTTCAATAAACAAAAACCGGCAGTTTAATAGCACATGAAGAATCTAGTAAAGGTAGCAATAGGCTGTAGTATGAAACAACCGTAGGAAAACGAAAAGAAAGCGTTGAAGCAAATTTCACACGGCATTAATCCGACGCATGGCCCTAGCCTAGAGTGCGGCAGAGTTCGTCGCAAAAGATCTCATGGTATCAAAGCAGAGGAAGGATAGTGTCCGATAGAGAAGTTAGCGGCAAACTGACCGCGGTAAAAATCAGTTAGAGGGGACAGCCCCTCCCTTGTAAAGAAGAAAGTCATCAACCGTACGCCGGTACACTGTACCGACGCTTTGCTGTCACACGACTACCACCGGCTGTGAGGACACCCGCCTCTAGACGGATCCGAACCGGCGATCTAAGGATTGCAAGCCAGGCGTGCAATCCTTTCGGCCACCAGCCGACGCCAGGGTATGATTGGGATTTTGAAGGAGCGTGCAACTTGAAGTAGTGATTAAGATGGGTCATTCCCATTTGAGCAGTTGGTCATTGCAACCGGTGGGAAATCCACGGTTGTGCGCGAAACAAAAAACCGAAAATAAAAGTAAGTGACAAAATATCCTGTAATGCCTTATAACTGCAGGTTCTCAAACCAACGCAAAGTCACCTGTGGATGATGGTGGGGATAGAAACTGTCCCGTCCGAAACGGAAAGACAGACTAGAGGCTAGGGCCTCTTCCTTTGTTACTGAGAAAAACTGTTTGATGAAGTTGACTTCGGGTAGTTATCCGGTGCGATGAGATGCCAGAGATAGCGAACGACCATGTAAGTGAAACGTGATATCGCTGGAGTAATTTCGTATGCACTCCGAGTACGGCTTATGTAATAAGATGAGAAACGATTTTCAGTAAGAAAGATTGGCACTATTAAAGTCACCATGTACGAACCGGACGAGTATGACGGTGGTACCTTGACTACAAGCAACGGAACTCTGTTTGTAGTAAACTTAGCGACTGCGTGCCCAGATTATTAGGCTGACACTGTGTACCGGTTGGCGAACTTCCGTGAGGTGCTGAGAGAAGTTGTGTACAACATATTAAGTGATCACAGTTGTTCAAACCAAACAGGTCAATGACCACGCAAACACAGCTTCAACGTATTTTTGAGTTGGGGAAGTCAGTGAACATTATTTAATACTAAGCCAAGGGAGACAAGCTTAAAGGCAATGAGCTCAGCTCCGGTGGCACAAGACACGAGTACCAAAGGGTGCTTCTGGTAGCAAAAGGGTAATTAATTCTTATTTTTTGCTGCAAGCAGTCTCAAAGTAGAACGCTTGCAAGTAATAAGTAGTAGTGGCAGCAGTAGGATAAGCAGCAGTCTATTAAATAGTCTTATCAGAGCATCATCATCATGGCACATAAGCTGAGGGCGAGCAACACACTTCAGCTATTGTGCCGTAATAAAAGAAAAAACGGAGCACTTTTTGTTAGTTTGTACAAGCCATTTTTCATGTTCACTCGCTAAATATTAAGCATCTAAATCTTTAAAAATGTGTCAGCTGTATGCCGTAAGGGCGCTTCGCTGTCGTGAGACCACCACCAGTCGCACACGGGCTGAGTATATCGCGAGAACGCTTACCCCTACGCGGATTCGAACCTGCGCCGCAAGATTACGAGACAAGCTCGTTACCTGCAAACTACGGACCGACAATAATGTACACAGATCCACCACCGCTGCGATTGCGCGCCATAGCCTGAATTGTTTCCAGCCATCGGCATTCTTCGTCCTTTGGTCCCCAACCAAACATAGATTGATCCAATGGTAAAAAGACGTGAAGTCAACGATTTCATATTCAGTCGCCAGCTAGACGGCTGACCTCCACGTGATCTCTTCCAGACAAATCCTGCAAGAGCGAAAGGCGCAGTAGGGTCAACGTTCAGCTGACATGCGCAGGACGTGACCGAGCCATCTCAAGTGAGGTAGCAAAATCAGCTTCTTGAAGGGAATACTCGCAATTCCTAAGACACGACGTCTGACTCCACTGCTGCAGATGCGCTGTTGCCACCACATATGAGCAATCCACCGCAAGCACCCGCTGTCGAAGACCGAGAGCCGGCGCATGTCGTCTACGCGAACTGACCATGACTCGCTTCCATACACCAACACCGCCCGAACAATGATACTGTAAACACGATCTTTCACCAAGAGGGAAACATCCCGACGAGGTCACAAGTGTAGCAAATAGACGAATGTCGACCAACCTTGGCGATGCGAAGAGAAACTTCCTTTTCAATGGTACCACTAGCAGACATACAGCTGCCTGGATAGACAATGCTATCTACTTGTTTAAACTGTGTACTTACAATAGTGAGCACGTGAATGGGCGAGTGCAAATCCTGAAGCAGCACTTACACTTTGACGGGGCAAAGCATATTCCGTACCTAGATGCCTCAATCGGAAAACGATTTAGGATGATTTGCATGATTTGTGATTCATCACCAAGTAAGGCGATATCATCGGCATAAGCTAAGTCTGCCGTTCCCTTGCCCGGTAGTAGCTGTAGGCCAAAATTTTGGTAACCGTCTAGTGCTCACGATAAGACGTCTTCAATGGCAAAATTGAAAAGGCACAGAGATACAGAGCAGCCCTGTCACACTAACTATTGACAGCGAAGGAGGATGAAAGTCTGCCATAAACCCTCACTTTACCGAAGATGTGGTGGCAGAGTGCGCGTAGAATATCAGTGTGGCATTCTGGGACCCCATTCTTTAGCAAACAACGCCACAGCGCAGATCGATCAACCGAGTCGAATGCAGCACGGAGCTCCAGGAATGCAACGATGGTAGGCCTCTGGTAAAGGTTAATATTTGACTACCACACCCACGGCCAAGTTGTTCTTCGCGGTACTACGATTCACGAATAGACAATAGTCTAAGGAGTAGAATGTATGTCAATAACTTGGAGACAACCGAGATGGGACTAATCCCCCGGTAATCGTTGAATGAAGTGTGAGCACCCTACTTAAAAATCGGGACAATAAGCAACTTGCCCCAAAAAGAAGACACCTTTTTTCATGCCAGATTTTGGAGAACAATGAGGTTAGCTGGCTAATGATAAGTGCGCCTCTGTACTTGAACAGTTCTAAAGGAAGTCCATCTGAGCCAGAAGCCTTGAATCGTCTCACGTGTCGAATCGCAAGACAAACTTCCGTTTCACGGGGCGGATCAAGGGTGACGACCCAGGACGGGCAGATGAGATCGCAGAGTATTCAAGAAGACTGTGAGGGTCAACTGAACTGCGAATGAAAATGTCCGGTCCATCGATCCAAGTGTCTCTGTAGGTTGGCAATCGGCGAACCATCCGCTTCGTACATAGTCACCCTGACACCAGGCTTTATGTGGCCAGTGTACTGAAAAAGTTGGAAGAGCTTACCAGTATTACCAGAAAGGGCGGCAGCCTTAATTACCGAAGCATGCTGAGACCACTAGGCTTCACAATTCTTGTGTAGGCTTTGTGTGAACTACCGAGTGACAGAACGGTGTACTTCATTAGCAGTAGACTCTGCAGGGATATTACTGCGGCAGTCAAACAGATCTAAAGAGCACGTGGAGATACAAGCCTTTCTGGGGTGCTAAGTAAGACAACAGACTAACTGCCCGGAAGAGATCATGGAAGTTTTTATGAACGTCCAGTGTTCATCAATGTCTTGCGGAGAGTCAGAGCTGAGTGCAGAGGCCAGGGGAGCTTAATGGCTCTGCTGAACCGAGAGGGTAGAGAGCTTATTTGTATCCATCTTATAATGCTTCGTTTTGGGAGACCCCCGAAACATGCAGATGTTCACACAGACAGGAGCATGGTTTGAGTCAAGAAAGGTGGACCAGATTGATCTGTAATCTTTTACACTACCACGCCACCTGAAACTGATTGCGATACGATCAATCTGAGACCAAGATTGGGACGCAGAAGGGGGTCGCCAAGTAGCGGAACGTCTCTTCGAATACCGAAAGCTGGTGCTCGACAGAAATAAACGATTGTTTTCGCACAATGTGAGAAGTTTCTCCCCATTATCTGAGCGGCTCTCATCAACCACCGAGATGACTTGCATGGCAATAGACGACCGACTTGTGGGTTGTATCCCCTGCAAGGAAAACAAAATCGGATTTCCGAGCTCCACCCAGGAGCTGATGAAGTCCACGGTAGAAATCGTCCTTGATCGAGTCGGGACTGCAGTCAGTCGGAGCGTAAGCCAAGATCACGTGTTGCGTCTCTTCACATGAAAGCTGCTGCTTCTGCATGAGCCCCGCAGCCGAACTGTACACAGTCGGCTATTAATCAGAAACCAGTCCAGTAGCGCGGCTTCGGCTTTGCTGCTTAGCGCTAAACCAACGCCAACCAAGCCTGCCGCAGCTGCCTCTGTGTCACCAGATAGACGATGAAATATGGCTCAACCGCCATTAGGAGACCTCAACTCAAACACAGTAATCAAGCATGTTTAGGGAAGACAGCAAACATGGATGGCGAGGGATTATAAAGTGCGCGTAAAACCAGCCTGCTGCCCGATCTGCATAAGTGTACGTACATTGAAGCATGTCAGGCGAAAAGAGGGTTGAGACTGAAGGAGGGCGACTGGACGAACCCCGTTGGTATAGACGAAACCATGGGGAGTGGAATCATGGAAATAGGAATCAGCTAGTAACGGATAACAGTTTGGTAACAGGTGAACGGGTGACGTGCAGGTAGCATATGCTAAGGCAGCTGAGCGCGATACAGCCGACAAATAACCCATGGTTTTGTCACTGGGCGTGATACTATCCGGTTGCCCAAGCCGAAGTAGGGAGTTGACTTAAGGGTCCCCACCCCAAGCCTTTGCCTAAATAACCTACCCGAAAAACAGCGGGGCGAATTCGGGGAATCACGCCCACTAGGAGTCGGTGGCTGAATGTTCAGTTCAAACGTTTTATGTTTGGTAGATTACTAAACAGGGGCCCAATCCTCC